AACGCTAAGTTTAGGGTTTTCACGGTGAAACGTTCCGAGATCAGGGCCTGAAGCCCAGGTCCCTCCTACACCTCCCAAAGAGTCCCTGTTCTAGGCTTGCTTAGGGTTGAGGGTTTAGGGTTTAGGGTGTAGGGTTTTGGGTTTCGGGTTTAGGATTTAGGGTTTAGGGTCTAGGGTCTAGGCCCTTAGGGCCTCGGGTCTAGGGTCTAGGGTCTAGGGTCGGTTTCGGTTTTGGCTTTAGGCTTTAGGCTTTAGGCTTTAGGGTTTAGGGTTTAGGGTTTAGGGTTTAGGGTTTAGGGTTTAGGGTTTAGGGTTTAGGGTTTAGGGTTTAGGGTTTAGGGTTTTGGTTTAGCGTTTTGGGTTCAGGGTTTCAGGGCGTGGCTGTCGGGGGTCCTTAAGGCCAGAATTGACGGGGTGCTTCTGAGGGTGTGGTCAGGATTTGAAACCATCATCATTCCCCCGAAGCCCCAAGCCATCAGGTCGAAGACCAAATAGCCCTAGACCCAGTGCGTCTGAACCCTCTGGATGATACCAGGTATAACTTCGTTCTCGGGTTTAAGGCTTTAGTACTTAGCATCTGCGGGTTGCAGCTACAGCCATCCTCAACCCTAAAGCCTGAACCTTGAACCCTAAACCCTTAGTCATACCTACAGCAAAAAACCCAGTTAAGAGCCAGGAGTACAACGACGACGAGCTCAATGAGATCACCCGAGTGGCCGTCGCCGCGCTGCCGACCATGGATGGGAAGTCAGAGGGACCGAAGAACAGGGGTTGACGGTTTGGAGTTTGGTGCTTAGGGTTTAGGGTTTTAGGGTCTAAGGGTTTCAGGGCTTCAGGGTTTAGCAGCGGCTTACAGGGTTTACAGGTTTAAGGGTTTAAGGGTTTAAATGGTTCAAGGGTTTAGGGGTTTAGGAGTGTAGTTTGTTGAAGTTCAACAGGCTAAGTTCCTCTTTTCGTACCAGCCTGCAGCAGGGAACTGACGCAGTTGCACAGGAGCCTCATGAATTGCCCCCGTCGTCCAGTTACAATGCCTCTCTATCAACCGTACAAAGGACCCAATGACACCAAGATTGCAACAACTCCAAAACCCCAAGACCCCCAAAACCCCCAAAACCCCCAAACCCCGACCTAACCCGCCACAACCCCAAAACCCGCAAACCCAGACCCGAAAAACTCCAAAACTCCAAACCCCCAAAACCCGAAGACCCCTAAACCCTAAACCCCACAACCCTAAACCTCCAAAGCCCCAAAGCCCCTAAACCCTAAACGTGAATTATGTTACAGGGCCCAGATTGATGACCCAACCTCTTCTAGTGAAACCAGGAACCCCTAGAGGTGCTTGAGAAAGGAAGGCATCCAAACATGGAGTTTGCTAGGGTTTGTTTTTAGGGTTTAGGGGTTTAGGGGTTTTAGGGTTTTAGGGTTTAGGGGTTTAGGGGTTTAGGGGTTTAGGGGTTTAGGGGTTTAGGGGTGTAGGGGTTTAGGGGTTTTATTTAGGGTTTTGGGTATAGGGTATAGGGTATAGCAGGGTTCACGCTTTGATCTACGGCTTGTTTGCATTGATGCTGTTGAAGCAGGACATATCCCCAAGAGCGCGTGGCCGAAGGTATTGAGGCCATCCTTCCTTGCAGGTTTAGGGTTTAGGGTTTCGGGTTTCGGGTTTAGGGTTGGGGGCAGCTTCCTTGTCAGGGGCTCGAAAAGGAACTCCTCACTTGCTTCGAGAATGTTCTTGTTTTTTTTCTCGGATGTTGTCCAGAAAGGGGGGGGGTCTCCCTGGGCGCGCACCGTTCGGAATGGTGCTTGACAGAATGCTCCAGGTTCAAGCGAATCCCTAAACCTGAAACCTTAAACCCTAAACCCTAAACCCTGAACCCTAAAGCGTAAACCCATCTGCAATCTGAAGCCAAGACTTCAACCAGCGCCCTAAGTCCCCGAAGCCTGCACGCCCTAAGTTCCCGAACCTCGTCGTGCCCGAATCTCTCCTCCTGCAACTGATGCTTGCCCCAAACCCTAACCCCATATTACACCTTAAGCGGGGGGGGGGGGGGGGGGGTAGGGTTTAGGGTTTAGGGTTTAGGGCTTAGGGCTTAGGGCTTAGGGTTTAGGGTTTAGGGTTTAGGGTTTAGGGTTTAGGGTTTAGGGTTTAGGGTTAGAGTTTAAAAGTGTAGTGTGTAGGGTTTATTGTAACCCTAGTCCCATATTAATACAGGGGCCTTTACAATTAGATTAGGGTTCCGGGGTTCCTATCGTATAAGTATAAAGGGACCATAAGGGAATACTACTAGTAATTATTCCAGTCCCCTATATTACACCTTAAATGCTCATGTGGGGGTTTCCGAGATTCGGGGTACAGTGACAGCGCTGGATAAGAAACCTCTAAGTTTTGGCGAGGGTACCCTCGGTTTCTTAATTATGAAGCCCGCTCAATTTCCGGAATTATAGCCTCCACACTGTTGAGGGTACCCTCCGTTTCGTAACGAATTTCTTAATGGGATTCGAACTGGCAACGTGTCAATTAGTAAGGCGACGCCTTATCCATTAGGCTGATCGCCCAAGTTCTTTATTGGGGGCTCCCCTCAAATCGGCAATCCGGCCTCTCGAATCCTCAACCTCAATTTCTTGAATTTAAGGGTTTTGGGGTCCTGCCCCACCCTCCCCCCCCCCCGGACGTGAAATTCTTAATTTTCCGGACTGCCCCCCCACCCCACCCCCCGATTTCTTAAATTTAAGAAATCCAGCCCCTCAATTTCTAGAAATCCACCCCTCGATTTCTTTGAGGAGGGGGGGGGGGGGGACTTGGGCTGGACCCCAAATTTAAGAAATCGAGGGGCTGGATTTCTTAAATTTAAGAACTTGAGGGGCTGGATTTCTTAAAATTAAGAAATCGAGGGGCTGGATTTCTTAAAATTAAGAAATCGAGGGGCTGGATTTCTTAAATTTAAGAAATCGAGGGGCTGAGTTTCTTATTTGAGGGGGGGGGACTTTTCATTCGGCGGTTCCCAAAAACAACCAAATTCAAGAAATTTAGGGCCCAGGATGAGGGTACCCTCGATTTCTTAATAGAGTCTTGCTCTCAATTTTCGCATTTTTAATCCGGGATCCAGCCGCGAGCATGCTCGTTTCTTAATCCAATGATTTCTTAATCAGTGCTGTCACTGTACCCTATTGGGGTCCTTATTATAAGGGATCCTACTATTTTGGGGGTCTATTTTAGGGCCCCCTTTATTTTCTTAAACCCCCGTGTACGTAGGGGCTCTCAAGTCATGCACCCACAAACATGGCTGTTGGGGAGTTTGTAGAGTTTAGGGTTCAGGGTTCAGGGTTCAGGGTTTAGGGTTTAGGGTTTAGGGTTTAGGGTTTAGCAAGGTTGGGGGGTGTTAGGGTTGAATTTTCTCGGGTACTTCGGGCTTGTGTGAGCAGAGGATAAGTTAGCGTCGAAGGGAACGAGAAGCTTGCAGTCTTTCTTTCTCTATTTGTTTATTGCTTTTTTACTTGTTTGAGGAGGGAGTTTGGGGGTTACACGTGAGGGGTTAGGGGTTGGGCTTTAGGTTTCTACGTTTCACATCCTTGTGTTTGCCCTTTCCTCACAGTATGACACTACCAGTCACTGCTATGTCCAGCCTTAGTAGACATTCATGCGCATGATTGGTTCAAGTTCTATGACCATCGACTGAATTTCCCCAGGCCGTAAACCCTAAACCTGCTGTCTCACTTGGTGGCTTACTGCTCGTACCTTATGACTTGGCCCTGACATTAGAAGGCAGTCCAGAAATACAAAAGCCAAGTTTTCTGATATTTGAACTTAGGGTTTAGGGCTTGGAGTTCACCATTTTCGAGTGTCTGCGGTTTAGGGTTTAGGCTTTTAGGTTGGGGTTTGGGTTTCGGATTTGGACGCGTTGAGCCTACGGTATTTGCGGCCTCTTCATCCTACGAAATCAAGTGAAACAACCGGATAAGCCCACAATGCATTCCAAGTCTTTCATTGCTTTCCACTCATCAAGTAAAAGATTGGGCATACAGCCCACACTTTTTAGACTTTATAGCCTGAGCCCTAACTCTGTTTCCTAAGTCCTAAAAGTTCTTTCAGCTGTGGCGTGGCAACATCCTATGAGCTGCAAAACCCGAAGCTCTACACTGAAACCCTGAGCCAGAGCCCCTAAACCCCAAAACCCTAAAACCCTAAAACCCTAAAACGCTAAAACCTAAGCCCCAAACCCCAAACCCCAAACCCCAAACCCCAAACCCCAAACCCCAAACCCCAAACCCCAAACCCCAAACCCCAAACCCCAAACCCCAAACCCTAAACCCTAAACCCTAAACCCTAAACCTAAACCCTAAACCCCACACCTCCTGGCCACCAGGGGCGAGTCGGAGGACGCCGTCAAAGAGTGGCAGCTGGGGCGGCACTTAGACCTCAACCCGGGTTTAGGGTTTAGGGTTTAGGGTTCAGGGTTTAGGGTTTAGGGTTTAGCGTTTTGTTTTGTCGACGGTTTTAGTGTTGCTGCTTGGGATGTTCTCCCTTATCCTAGCAGTCCTTGAAAGGGATTCTAGAACATCCCAAGTTGCTGCTGTGTTCGGTTCTCAGCTGTGCAGAGCACGCCAATACATGGGCGGGGGGAGGGGTCCACGTGGTCGCTGCTCCCAGAGGCTGCCATGATGCTGGCTTCCAGCAACAAGACAAAATCGTCTCCCTGACCCTAAACCCTAAAAACTATTCGCCTAAACCCTAAACCCAAAACCCGAATCCCCGTGATAGGGATGCAGGGAGTCCTTGCAGGTCACTCGGGTGCATGACTTCTGCCAGATGAATGATCTCTGAATCTTGTCAGGGTGTACGGCTTTAGGGTTTAGGGTTCAGGGTTTAGGGTTTAAGGTTAGGGGTTAGGGCTTAGGGTTCAGGGTTTATGGGGCTGGGGTTCGGACGTGGGGATGTTCCCGTGGATCCGCGTACATGTTCAAGCAAACTTCCCAAGTTCTGAGAGGGTCAGGTGGCCGGAGCCATGTCCATCTGGAGTTTCCTTCTGCTGTGTGCTGCGGCCATCGGCACCAGTCGAGCATGCTCTTGTGACCCAGAAGACATCCGGGCACACGAGGACTTCTCGTCTCCAGCAGTCAAATTCTTCAGGCAGCCCTTCGTTTTCGCAGGGAAGGTCCTCTCCATCCAGCCAGCCGACGGCATGCCAGGCGAGCAATCTGCATATTGTGCAGCACCACCGGCGGCTCATCATGAGGACGAGGAGTGGGGAAATCCATGCGCTGAGGACGATGAAGGCCATTTCAGGAGATGGAACAGGTGTCGCCGGAAGCATATTGCCGAGGTGCAGGTCACTCATGGATTTCAGGGCATCAGCAAGGGCGAGATTTTCCGGTACAACTGCACTCTTGCAAGTTGCGGTGATTGCAGTGCAGACTGTCCTGAGGTGGGTGCAGAGGTTCTCGATGGCACGCGCGCAGGCGGCGCGACGTCTATCTGTCGCTCGCAGCTCTGTGTGCTCTCTGGCTGGGATACGGAGCACTGCCAGCGGCTCCTTAAGGAGCTGCAGCGCAAGAGGCCTGCTGAAAGCAGGAAGTTTCAGATTGCTCTGCCCGTGGCCTTCTCCACGCTGACCGCCAACTCCTACTTTCGCGGCCAGCTGTTGCGATCACTGGTCGAGGACGTCCTGGCGGACCTCTGGCCAGAGGTGTCGAAGTTTGACATCAAGTCCGCAAACCTTGTGGAGGATCCGCATCGATCCGTGTTGGTGACGCCTTCGGCCCTCGTGCCCTCCACTCTTTTCGAAATCGTCTGCTACATGGCGGACCAGGAGGACGTGGCTGGCGTCGAGTCAGTTCTGCGAGGCCTGTTCTCAGTGCCTTTCACCTGGAAGAAGGGGTGGGACATTGTGAAGCAGTTCTGCCTCCATAGCCCATGCCCCCAGTGTGAGACGACCTGTGTGGAGTCCTCGCAGACTTCGTTGGTGAGCCTCCCAACGCCCATCTTCGCCTGAGGACATCTTGCCGTGAGTGCAGTGGCGGCACAGTACCCTATGCCTGAACAAGCTATGACCCAGAGTAGGCCCTTGTTCCTTGTTTTGGGTTTAGGCTTCCTCACAAGCCCCTTCAGAGCAGAAAGGGCACCCTTGTTATTCCTAGGTTGCTCTTGGGTCTAGACAAGCTATCACATGCTGCAACAAAGGCGGCAGTTGATGGCTGCCGTGTCCTTCCGGGCAGTAGCGCCCGAGGGCTGCGACCCCGCTCTTAGCCTTGGGTTGTGGTGGCAAGGTGTCAGGGTGAGTCAGGCTCCCTAAACCCTAAGCCCTATAAACCCTATAAACCCTATAAACCCTATAAACCCTAGAAACCCTAGAAACCCTAGAAACCCTAGAAACCCTAGCAACCCTATAAACCCTATAAACCCTATAAACCCTATAAACCCTATAAACCCTATAAACCCTATAAACCCTGTAAACCTTGTAAACCCTAAACCCCAAACCCTAAACTACCCTAAGCCCTAAACTCAGGGCCTAGGCCGCCCCCCTATGTTGGGGGGCGGCGCCAAGCACCTCGACCTCGATGGCACAAGCCGACCCAGGTCGTTCGCCCGCCCAGCTCGGAGGTCTTTAGCACCCACGATGGGCCCGGTACCGGACTGGGACCCCCCTGACCCTGAAAAAACCCGCGCCCTGGAACAGAAGAAGTTTTAGAAGTGGGCGGTTGGCTTGAGTTTAAGCCTAAACCCTCAAAGAAACAGGTTTGCGTGGTTTTGCCGCCTGAGACGGTGTGGGGTGGGAGTTAAGGTGTTCTAGGGTGGCCCTCACGATCGGGCCATGGCCGCCCTTCGCTCGTTGCCTTCAGTAGGCCGAAAAAAACCGTCACAGTTACAGCTTGTACGCCATACTACAGCAAACCCTAAACCCTAAGCCCTAAACCGTGTACGGTTTACCACACATAAGGCCCAAACCTGCTTGAACCCCGGGCGAAGAGGAGGTGTGACCTTCGCCCTCTGCCCTTGTACAGCAGGGTGGCAGGGTCGAAAACGGAGTCGTGCTTGAAGAGGAAGCTGGCTGTTTGCAGACTGCAGGTTCAGGGTTTAGGGTTTAGGGTTTAGGATTTAGGGTTTAGGGTTGAGGGCCTTCAAGAGGAGATCCAGAAACCCTTAAAAAAGGCAGTTCCGAAGGTAGAGTTATGATGAGCGTGGTGGTGGTCAATGTCAAAATCGTCGTTCTGGTTCTGGAAGGGTTTAACATGTACGTATCTACTGTGTTTTGAAGAACCCCCCCAAATTTTGCCAACGTTATTCCTCACAAGGGCAACAAACATAGCAATGTTCATTGTAAATTGTTTTATTTCAGCTTTTTTTTGGGGGGAGGGGGGTTCTTAAGCAAATAGTAGGTATGCATATATCTACGCGTATGTATGTGCATCTGCATGTGCATTTGTATCTGCACCCGTCGTAAGCGTTCATCTTGATTCTTCACGCACACACATGTATGTAAGTGCATTTTTTAAAAAAGAGGTAAACATAAACACATATGTATATATATATATATATCATATATATATATATATGAATATGTTTTTCATATGCATGCAAGCACACACTTTGGTGCTGGCCAGTATCTTTCGTATGAATGCACGTAGCCAAGTAGAGTGAGTAATGCAAGGGAGCAGCACAGCATCCTCATGATCATGTTTGCCATGGGCGAAGGTCATCATCAGCACCATCAAATTCCCATGCATCGTCCTTGTCACCATGTGCTTGTCCTCCTCAGTGGCGTTTGGGAAGCATCCAGTCGTTGTTTGAATTGTAGCTGGTTGGTGAAAATTGTCCAGGTATACAGCACAAGGGCAGTCGCCTGATCCCGATGTCAGCAGCGACCTGTGTATGAGACGGAGATATGCACACCCCATGCCGGAAGCGCACATGTTCAAGCAAACTTCCCCAGTTCTGAGAGGGTCAGGTGGCCGGAGCCATGTCCATCTGGAGTTTCCTTCTGCTGTGTGCTGCGGCCATCGGCACCAGTCGAGCATGCTCTTGTGACCCAGACTTCATCCCGGCACAGGAGGACTTCTCGTCTCCAGCAGCCAAATTCTTCAGGCAGCCCTTCGTTTTCACAGGGAAGGTCCTCTCCATCCAGCCAGCCGACGGCATGCCAGGCGAGCAATCTGCATATTGTGCAGCACCACCAGTGGCTCACGATGAGCGGTGGGGATCTCCATGCGCTGGTGACTATGAAGGCCATTTCAGCAGATGGAACAGGTGTCGCCGGAAGCATATTGCCGAGGTGCAGGTCACTAATGGACTCCAGGGGATCAGCAAGGGCGAGACTTTCCGGTACAACTGCACTCTTGCAAGTTGCGGTGATTGCAGTCCACCCTGTCCTGAGGTGGGTGCAGAGGTTCTCGATGGCACGCGCGCAGGCGGCGCGACGTCTTTCTGTGGCTCGCGACGCTGTCAGCTCACTGGCTGGGATGCGGAGCACTGCCAGCAGCTCCTTAAGGAGCTGCAGCGCAAGAGGCCTGCTGAAAGCAGGAAGCTTCAGGTTGCTCTTCCCCTGGCCTTCTCCACGCTGACCGCCAACTCCTACTTTCGCGGCCTGCTGTTGCGATCACTGGTCCAGGACGTCCTGGCGGACCTCGGGCCAGAGGTGTCGAAGTTTGACATCAAGTCTGCAAACCTTGTGGAGGATCCGCATCGATCCGTGTTGGTGACGCCTTCGGCCCTCGTGCCTTCCACTCTTTTCGAAATCGTCTTCTACATGGCGGACCAGAAAGACGTGGATGACGTCGAGTCAGTTCTGCGAGGCCTGTTCTCAGTGCCTTTCACCTGGAAGAAGGGGTGGGACATTGTGAAGCAGTTCTGCCTTCATCGCCCGTGCCCCCAGTGTGAGACGACCTGTGTGGAGTCCTCGCAGACTTCGTTGGTGAGCCTCCCAACGCCCATCTTCGCCTGAGGACATGTTGCCGTGAGTGCAGTGGCGGCACACTACCCTACGCCTGAACAAGCTATGACCCAGAGTAGGCCCTTGTTCTCTTTTTTGTGTTGAGGCTTCCTCACAAGCCCCTTTAGAGCAGAATGCTGCAACACAGGCGGCAGTTGATGGCTGCTTCGTCCTTCCGGGCAGTAGCGCCCGAGGGCTGAGAACCCGCTCTTAGCCTGGGTGTGTGGTGGCAAGGTGTCAGGCTGAGTCAGGCCCCCTAAACCCTAAACCCTAAACCCTAAACTCTAAACCCTAACCCCGTACGGTTTACCACACATAAGGCCCAAACCTGCCTGAACCCCGGCGAAGAGGAGGTGTGACCTTCGCCCCCTGCCCTTGTACAGCAGGGTGGGAGGGTTGAAAAAGGCAGTTCTGGAGTCGTGCTTGAAGAGGAAGCTTGCGGTTTGCAGAGTTTAGGGTTTAGGGTTTAGGGTTTAGGGTTCAGGGTTTAGGGTTTAGGGTTTAGGGTTTAGGGTTTAGGGCTTTCAAGGGCTCCTGAGGAGATCCGGAAACCTCTAAAGGCAGTTCCGAAGGAAGAGTTGTGATGAGCGTGGGTGATGGTCAATGTCAATATCGTCGTTCTGGTTCTTGAAGGGTGTTAGTCTTAGTTAGCATGTTTTGGAGTTTTCGGCTCTAGGCTTCCGGAACCCTAAACCCTCAACACTAATTCAACCCTAAACCCTAAACCCTAAACCCTAAACCCTAAACCCTACACCCTGAACCCAGTTAAGGCTTCGGGGCTTCGGGGCAGGCTTCGTGGTCGGAGGGGGGCAACTTCTACACCAAGAAACCGAACCCTTAGACCGCCCAGCCGATATCAGCAGTCAAGAATGAAAGCTTGGGGGTTTAGGGTTTAGGGTTTAGGGCTTAGGGTTTAGGATGGGTGCTTTACAAGTAGGGTTATAAGTTATCAGCAGATGATAGCCATAGCTACCCTACTTCTAACCGCAGCGCAGATCTGGGAAGCCCACCAGGCCTTCTTCCGTGAAAGGCTGAGCAAAGCCTGTGAGTCGTAGCAAGCCGCACCTGACCCAAAGGAAACCCAAGCTGCTGGTATTCGTGTCCTGCAAGCCTCAGTAAGCAGGCTACCTACCCAGAGAACCCGATGAAACTTACATATTATATAAATCTCCCCAAGTTACGATTTGTCGGGGCTCAGGTTCTGATTCAAGGAAGGTTCCTGAACTAAGCACTAGCACTTGGGTTCCCGAAAAGCTACACGAAACGTGAGCTTAAGGGTTCTCCTCCACATCGAACATGGTATGTAGAGTCCCACTATCAACCCATTCCACCCTAACCACAGGATCACAGTGGGCTACCCGGCCCTGGCGCAGAAGGGCACCGGGCGATATGCCTTCGAGGCCAACGGATTTCATCTGCTGTTCTTTGATCCCACGGTGCTGCCTCTCTTCACTTTTCTTGTTTTAGGATTTCGGGGTTTCGGGTTTAGGGTTTTGCCCTTATAGTTAAGCCGTCAAGCCCATCTGCATAGGCCCTTCGCATATGTCATGTCTCCCCTTGGTTCTGGGGCGTAGTGTTGCCATGTGGGACTCAGGGGGACCAGCATTCTTGCGCCTTCGAAGCTAGCATTCCCAGTGCTTGGTCGGGCTGGGGGCTTGGGGTTGAAGGCTTAGGGTTGAGCTGGGGGGTTTAGGGTTTAGGGTTTAGGGTTTAAGGGTTGGGGGCTTAGGCTTAGACCCCCGAAAACAAGTGGAGTGTAGAGGTTCGGGCTTGCCAGGGTTCCAGCAGGATGTCTTGACAGTAGCTTCCTTGATGACCCGATGCCCCCATGCCCCGATGCCCTAAAACCCCCAAATCCTCAACCCTGAAGACCCAAACATCCAAACCATAAACTCAAGCCCTTAACCTTCATAAGCCCTGGAAGCCCGCATCAACCCACATAGACCCTGAGAGAACTTCTCTGAAGCCTTTTACACTTTTTCTAAGCTCTCAGCACCCCTCCTCTAAACGTCTGGTTAGACCCAAGGCTTTCATCTTCCCATACGCCCTGGAATCCTGAACCCGAA